TTCCTAAACCTTTTTCATCTGACACCCATATTGTGATACATCTTTAAATTATCTAATTTGCTTGATTCAACAAAGGTTTAGATTTTAAAAGGGGTCGCAACTCTGCTACATTAAGTTTAGAAATACAATTTTTTCTAAGCCATTTTGATTATGGATATCAATTGTAGTAATTAATTAAACCTAAGTATTGCATACATTCAATTGAACTTTGTAAACAGGTGTCAACCCTCTTCAAAATATTTTCAAACTACAATCTCTTTTGTGTTACACCTATATCGTGATAAATATTTAAATTTTCTCATTCTCTTAATTTAAGTTAAACTTGAATTTTTAAATATTATTAGGAAGTAAAACAGTTTCAAAACCATTTCGATCGATTACACATATTGTACTCTTAACTTCTGAAATATTTTGAACTAAATTTTGATCAGGTGGCAATCCTCTCTATAATTCTGAATTTCCCAACTGACGATTTCTTACCATCCTGTAATGTATGTATGCATGTACACTTTAATTAAATTCGACTTTTCATGCAGGTGGCAACCCTGTTCAAAATATTTTAAAACCAAAACCTCGGATTAGTTTTTTCACCTACCACTTATATTGCGTGAGACTTTTACGACACAAATACTTTACATGTGATACATATTTAAGTAATATAATTCGCTTAATTCAAGTTGAAACTAGGTTTTAAAACAGGTGGTTATATATTTTAAGCGATGAATAAAAAAATAGAAATTTAATTATTAATTATAATTTTATAGATATCGCTCAAAAATTGCTAAATCGTAACAGATATTTGAGAGCTTTTAATTTTTTCCATTAAAAGTTTAAAAATAATTATTATTTTCGATTCTTGCTCGAAATTTCCTTCGTCATTCATTCATTCGTGCATTATTGTATGCTTGTTGGGCTGCTTCTGTATACATATGTATGTATGTATGTATGTATGTACATTAGGGTGGTCCTAAAATTCATGTAAAAAGTAAAATCGGCATTTTTATGCTCTCACCCCCTAGGAATGTTCTATACCGAAAAATACCCCTAATTTTTATTTTGAAATCAAAAAATATTTAGAGGTCGCTAAAACCAACCAATTGTTTATTTAACCATTTTTCACAGTAACTACATTTTATAGGCCGCCGAAAATTCCAGAAATACAATGGCGGGACCAATAAAAAGTGCAAGTCTCCTGAAGAAAACCAGAGTTTTCCGATCGAAAAATATTGATTTTCAAGAACTCTATACTATTTCTACGAAAAGTTGTTTTTCCCATATAAAATACATTGAAAATTTTGAGCGCTTTGAGCGACCTCTAAATATTTTTTGACTTCGAAACAAAAAAATAGAGGTTTATTTTTTCGATACAAAAAATCCTAAGGAGTGAGCGCATTACAATTCCGAAATTAGGTTTTTTTGGACGACCCTAATTTACATGCTTAAGTATGTGATATATATGTATGTATGTCCTGATAATAATCAACTTACATACAATTGAACAAAAACTACATATCACTAACAGCATATGTATACATAAACATATTTCACTCCTCATACTGCTTCCTATTCCTTTTGGCCTTAGCGCTCTGTTGCAACCCCGCCGCTGTTGGTCCTTCCTCACCACCTCTTTCCTACTTTCTTTTATGTAAGGCTTTCGAAAGTACTTGATTGAAGTTGACACTTTGGTTGCGGTTTAATTGTTTGCTGTTGTTGTAGAGATTGTTTTCTAAACTAATAAATACTGTTCAAGCGTTGACTGCACTTTGGATAAACTTTTTAAAGCTGCAACAACATTGAAAATGAAATCGATAATCTTCTCGACATTTCCTCTCTCTCTCTCTTTCTCTCTCTCGCTCTTTCGTTCACCATTGATTATGTTATTCTAGCCGTTGGCGCTTTTGTTTCAACTGACAAAGTAAGAATAATGTGGCTGCTGCGTTCGAACTTTCCTTCTAATGTTATAAATTGCCACCATAAGTTGAAGAGATTAAACAAAGAAATTAATTTATAGTTGGCGAGTAAATATACAAACATACATATATGTATGTATGTGTTTATGCGCGGACGTATGCAATTATGTGCATAATGTATGTACATACGTATGTATTGAAGTGCTGAAAAACGTACATACTTATGTATATACTCACATGGATGAACATTGAATTGAGTGTAAGCTTATTAGGATAAATAAAAAATTGGGCATTATTATTGCGAGTCTCCTGAAGAGCAATAGAGTTTTCCGACCGAAAATATTAATTTTAAAGAATTCCATACCATCTGTACGAAAATTTGTTTTTTCCCCATATAGCAAAATACATGGAAAGCTTTGAGCGCTTTGAGCGACCCCTAAATATTTTTTTGATTTCAAAATAAAAAAATAGAGGTATATTTTTTACGGTATAGAGCATTCCTAGGGGGTGAGAGCATTAAAGTTCCAACTTTACTTTTTCACATGCATTTTTGGACCATCCTAATGCATACACATAATGTACGAACGTTTTTTAAGCTTTTACCAGCATATTATTGCAATTTTCATAAGTAATTGATGTTTTCGCATTAGAAATATATTTTTAAGCTCTAGAAGCAAGACTTCATATTTCATATTTAAAATTTTAAAGTTTTTATGATAACAATGCCGTTAGTGATATCAGCAAGCCCCTGTTCTTTGTCTCTAAAACTAATAAGACTTCCGAATTTTATTATAAACCTATCTGTTCAAAAAATCATCACATTTCTCTTCTTACAAATAGCCTAAACTATCTTAGGTCAGATAACTCACATCAAATTCTACAAAATAGTGTGCGAGTCTGACATATTCTAATGAATTTTAAACAAAAAGTTTTGAATATTTTAAAAATTCCTTTTCAAATGATGGGCTTCCTGCAACTACTTACATGCGTATGTAAATAGTTAACTGCTTGCCTGCATACTTACAAATGCAAGTTTAAGTTAAGGAGACGCATAAAAGCCTCGAAGAACGAGTAGCAAACATGTAAGGAAGACATTAATTTATACCACTATGAAGACAAAAAAAAACAATTCTGGTAACAATGAAAAATTGCAAAGATAACAACGACGGGGCACTTAAGCTAACAAATGGTAGAACTACTTCATTCGAATTTCTTTAGACAAAAGGCATTAAAACAAATTGAAAGCTGCAAGAAATACTGCTCGCACTATTTTCTATAGACATACATATAGCACATACAAACATATGAAGAAGGAAATGTAAAGTGCATAAAAGTCTGGGATATATTTCTGAGAAATTTTTAAATTTAAAGGAAAAAATTCACGTGGGGCATTCCAGCCCAAAGTATAGTACCAATTGATAGAGGCCTCGCTTATTCTTTACAACTTTTTTTTGTCCAGCCGTTTTCGAGATATTGAATTTGAAAAAAAGCGTTGCTTTTTTAATGCCCACAACTTTGTTCAAATGGGCCGATTGGACCATCTTTTATTTGAAATTTTCCATTTGTAAAACATTTTTGGAATGTAAAATCGGAAAAATTTTCAAAACCGTTATATGATCATGATCTTAAATTAATTGATGCGTGATTTTTTTTTTTTTTAATTTTCTTTAAGTCTTAAACGATAAAGTGAAAAATAATACTTCGAATCGATTGAGAATCGGTGTAGAAGCCCATTTCAGTGTATTTATTTCTAGAGAAGAAAGTGTTCAAATTCGATTTCTTGAAATTTCGGCAATATTTTAAAAGTATAACTTTGTAAAAAAGTATAAAAATTGGAAAAACTTTAACAATTACACGCTAAAATTTAAAATTTTTTATTCGGAACTTTTAGAAAAATTCTAGGTATGCAATTTCATAGCCCATTAAATTTAATTAGATAAAAGTGAAAATTTCAAGACGACAGGAGATCGCGTTGATTTTTATTATAATATTTTTTTTTCCTGACGGTGCTAGGAACTTTCTTCCATATAAAATGCATTATCCTAAGATAAAAAGTTAGTGAATTGAAGCTCTACTATTTACTACTAGTCTTCTTATATTTTTTAATAGATAATCTTCAATATGGACCACACTAAAAGCTCCTTTTCATACAAAAGTTCGTACGTGCCCCACCAGTGACAAACGTTGCCCCACCCGTGACAGAGGAGTTCCGTATTTTTTTATAGTAAAGCAATAATTTCTGTAAAAGTTTTTGCTTTGTTAGTGTGTGTGGTTCTTTCTTTTATTTCAAGACAACAAGTTCATAGAGAAAAGTGAAATAAATTCACTGAGTTTACGTAAAATATATCTGCTCCAAAAAGCAGGCTCTCTTTTTTGTCCCAGACAGAAGAAATAAGGTGTGTGACTGAGTAAACGTGTGAGTGTATATTTTAACGAAATTTGGCACACAAATAGGTTATAACTTGGATTAACATATATGAAATTTTTTGAAGATAGTTACCACCATTTTGAAAGTTAAAATTAATTAATTAATATGTTAAAAAATAAATATTACAACAGTGTAGATGAAAAACGAAAAGGGGCTCCAAAACGATATATTCCGAAAATATTTTTAAGAAGGTTGCCACCTCTTTGAAAAGTAAATGTCAATTAATACATAAGTTAAATAAAGTATTACAACGTTGTGGGTGTGAAACGAAAGGGGTTCAAAGATTAATTTAGAAAATATTCTTTAACCCTGGAAGTACCTTCATATTTTTGTATACGTAAACAACACACGTAGTCAGCTCGTTGATTCGACGAAGAAAGTACTTCTATGGATGTCAATCAAAAAAGCTATAAGAACGCTTTGTTTAGAAAATATTTTTAAAGAGTGTTGCCACCTGTTTAAAAGACTAATTAAATTAAATTGTTAAGTCAAATAAAGAGTTAAAAAATCATCTCAAGTCAAACAAAAGATTTAAGTTAAGAATGGAATACACACATTTAAAAAAAATGGCCATCTTTACAAGAGAATATTCTATAGATCTAAATAAAACATACACAATAAACATGTTGTCTAAATTAAAAAAAAAACTTTTGTCTTTGCAGCGCGGTAGTCGTTATCACGCTCATCGTCACAACCAACGTTCGCAGTCCTTAAATCGCGGTCAAGCGCTTTCTCAAGCAGATGTAAGCGGAATGTGGTGACATCGGGGTGCCTCTGGTAAAGGTAATTATATGAAAGAAAATAAAAATGCTGTAAGTAATAACACAGAAATATTCATTAAATCATTTAATGAGCGGACATGAAAGAAAATTTTACAAAATACCTTATCGGAGCTAAATTTTTTTACACCATTTTTTAAGGAGGCCTTTTATTAGTGGCCCATTTTTTAGCCTATACTCGTTCAATACCAGTTGAGAAGAAAAATATTAAAAAAAGACGGATGTTCGGTTATCAAAATTTAATTTATCCATTGGCCATGGGTTGTATTTTAAAATATATATTTAAAACCAAATTTCCCCATAACGTTAATTTCTGGAGAATCGTATGGCTGAATAAATAAGCTACGCCTCTATGAGAACAATCCTTTTCTCTTTTCAAAAAAAAAAAAAAATAAATGGACTTACTTAGCTCCAGATTAATTCTGCTTTTCCAGCGGCCAACACAAAAAGTGCACTTTTATGAATCGGATAAATATTTCTGTTATAACTGCGAGCATGCAAATATTTACTGAAATTTCATATTTCAGCTGCAGGAGGTCAGGGTGGTTGTGCGAGCTGCGCCATGGGTAACAAGTTGAGCTGCTCCTGTGCGCCATTGATGCGCAAAGCGTATCGCTACGAGGACTCTCCATGGCAGACGTCACGTCGGCGTGACGGGCATTTATTAAGGTAAGCTATCCAAAATAAATTGGCAAATGTGTAAACAAATGTGGAAAGAATAGAAACGGTTTCTAAACTTTATATTTCGTTTATACTTTTAACACTTTTGAAAATAAGATTAAAAAAAAATAAATTGTGAAACCAAAATTAATTTCCGTTTTATTTTTCTTTTGTCTCTTTTTCTTTACGCCGATTTATTTTTCCTGTGGTCTCCTCTTCTCTTTACCAACGTCCAACGTTCCATAACCAACCAACTAATCAACACCACCAATCGACCAAACAACAAACAAACCTATACAACAATATGAATATTAAAAATATAAAAATGTTTCAACTATAATAAACTTATTCCTCGACTTCAACATTCACACGAAAAAAAAACAAATCAAAAATTTAAATCCACTAAAAACTGTCACCAAAATTTTCGTCATGACAAAACTTGCTAAAAAATAAAAATGAATTCAATTAACGAATTATTCAACCACCAAAAAACCAATGCCAATCAATCGATTACAAAACCAACAAATGTACAATAACAACTAAAACATCCTGTTTTTCCTTTCGAACTTTTCGTACTTCGTTTTCACATTTTATGTACAAATATTTGTGAATATTGCAAATTGCAATCATTAACCGTTATTATATTCTATTTACACAAAAAAAAAAATCTTGCTAAATAACTCCATAATCACATACGCACACATATTTACAATGAATGTGGCTAATCTGCGCCAGTTCATTCAGGTTGTGGGCTGAAGTATTTCATGTTTCGGCAAGTGGCGCCGGTACCGTTAAGTGGCAGCAAGTATCTGAAGATTTGGTTCCTGTTAACATAACCTGCATCCAGGATTCTCCCGAATGCGTATTTCATATAACGGCCTACAATAGTCAGGTCGATAAAATATTGGACGTACGACTCGTTCAGCCAGGTGAGTGAGAGAGTTTTTTTTTAAATATTTTTTTTTTTAGTATTTTAGAATATTGTTGTTCCAATGCCATCATACAAATCAATTCGATAAAACTATTTTTATTTCAATACCAAGTAAGTAATGGAACATGATTTGATTGAAAACTTAAACATCAAAAACATTAATGTATTTACTTGAATCGTATCGGCCGTACTTAAGCATCAGGCTTAGGACAAATATGATAAAAATCTTAGCAAAAAGTAAAATCTCGTCCTAGGTTATATATAGACATGTGTATGCTCTTGACAAAAATAATTGCATACATGGTTAGGTTAGCTTAGGTTGAAGTGGCTACCAGTAATCCCACTAGCACACCTAGGCCCTTAAAAATTTGGACCCGTTCTGATACAACGCGGGACGTTAGAATCTTTCTACCGTTGTGTGGAATCTGCGAAACTCAAGAATTGCTACACATATTCTGATTTCGGTTATGTTGGTTAAACCGTCGAAGAATTCTGAGCCCAAGGACCTTTTGAAGAAGTCACTGTGGGGGATCCCTAGCCCCTCCGCGTGCCTTCCAATGGCAGCATGGCGTGTTAGCAGGCCCACGGTTGTTACTAAGTCCCATCTGCTCAGCAGGGCTAGACCTTTCGACCGCTTCTTCTTCCATTTTGGCCACATAAGATTTATGTTGCTGCAAGTTGTGAGACTATCCCGCCTGTCCTTCGCTTGTTTGAGAGATAAATCCCTTAGAATGAGCTTGCAGATAGTAGGCGTGGAACTGATGTGCCCTCTCTTGCAAGTTTGTCCGCCTTTTCATTGCCTGGTAAGTTTTGGTGCCCCGGCACACATACCAGGTGAAGAGCGTACTGCTCAACCATCTCGCTCAGAGCTTCGCGGCAGCCCGCTACTGTTCTTGAACTGTATGTGACCGAGTCAAGCGCTTTAATTGCCGTCTCACTGTCAGAGACGATAGAGATATTGTTACGTATTGCTTCTCCTGCACCTAAGTGTTCTATCGTCTCCTGTATCGGAGCGACCTCAGTCTGAAAGACGCTGCAATAGTCGGGTAGGCGAAACAATTTTTCCAGCCACAGTCGGGCTGATTAGCCACCCCCCTTCCTTGCCCTCTAGTTTAGAACCATCGGTTTAGACGTGGAGTCATTCCTTAACATCAGTAGCCCCTCGTGACCAAAAATCTATATGGAAAAGAAGCCCTATACCTCTTTGTGAAGTTTAGACTTAGTACAGCGTAATCCGTGCCCGGTATATCTATGCGCTTTAAGATTGCAGTGTGGCCATCATGAGTGTCTATCCAGCCGGATAGTTTCCGCAGCCTCAGGGCGGTGCACCCTGCTAACTGTTTTCCAGCAATGCTGATTGGCAGAATAGTGAGTAAGACGCACATTGCCTCCGTTGGAGGTGTGCGTAGAGCCCCGCAGATGCAGAGCATCGCAGTTCTCTGCACTTTTTGAAGTGCTTCAATTGTAGATTTCTTGCCGAGACTTGGACACCATAAGAATATCCCGTAGAGTAATAACCGCCGTGTTGAGCCAATGTATTATGTTTGGGGACAGCCCCCAACAACGTATAATTATCTCCTTACAGCTGTAGAGGGCTAACGTTGCTTTTTAACGCGTTCTTGTAAATTTTGTGCCCAGTTAAGCTATTTTTCCAGCACTACGCCTAGATATTTATTTAGATTTGTCCGAGGTAGCACCCAGGCCTTTATCTATGGTCCATCTTTCCATTAGTCTTAATTTGTCCTTCTACACTTATCCTACACTTGTCCTTCTAGCCTTATCTTCGCTGTCCATCCATGCGAGCCGAGCTGAAGTACTTTTTACTAGCTGGGGCATGCTGAGAGACTTGCAGAGTGTGTTTTTTTTGTAAAAAGAGGGCTCTGCTAGTTCCTTAAACAGGTTTGTCAATTTCTTAGCAAAGTGTGGTTCCGAGACAAAAGGGACCCACTGTCTGACTCCAAATACAAAAAAAAAAGTACTCGCATAGTTGCCATTGCCTATCAAAGGCTTCGCTGTTAGTAAAAATTGTATCTAAAATTTTTGGGTGTTCCTCAGACCTGGGCTCAAGCTTTAGATTCTACTGAGTAGAAGTATGCACCTCTAACCACTCGAATATTTTCTTTGTGTTCTTCGCATTATTTTCGCAGAATTAATATTCGGTATTCATACATGGTGTAACCTTGCAAATGATCGAGTAGAGTTCTTACGTAGGTCTGGACAAGTAATTTAGAAACTTTTAGTTTTAAGACTTTCCAAAATCTGGAGTTCCCAACTTCTGTGTAAAAAAGTTTTTTCATTTGACAAAATTTTTTTAAACTCGTTTTCTAAATTTATTTTAGTTCACATAGTGTCTGTGGAAATAATACTGGTATCCATTTATCAGGCAAAAAAGATTTATTGACGAAATTTGCATATCCCTTAATATATATGCAGAGCATCACAGTTCTCGGGCGTTTTCGAACCGAATTCTGAGATTGGGTATTATTCAATCAAATTCTGAAATAGGCCGTTTTTGAAAAGTTTCCTGAGATAAGGCGTTTTCGAACTGGCTGCCGAGATAGGTCGATCTTCCACTCAGACGTCGATATGTAGTTGATTATCCACTTTAATTCCGAATTTTAATTTACGAACTTTTTAGATTTGTAGGTATAACTTAACATTATATGTACCAGTGCTTGTTAAGTTGAAATATTTATTTATACATATATGTATCTAATTTTGTTTTAGGAACTCGCATTGGCCAAGCATCAGAATGCTTTGTGTACTGGAAGGATCCGATGACCAATGATACGTGGGGTCTTAATTTCACTTCACCAATCGATGCAAAACAATTCCGAGAATGTTGTGTAAGTATTCTCATGCGGATTAGCAAGGCCGACAACTACAAACAAAGCGAACTGTGTGTCAAATGCATTCAGGATTATCTGAGCCACTCGCATAGGCATATGCTTTTACGAATGTGTGTTTGTGTATATAGAGCCTGCACTTGTTCAATTATTGGTGCATATATGTATGTATGCGCATGTTTATGCCGACTGGTGGCAGCAGAATTCCAAAATGCAGTCGATGTTTGCTTTGATTTTACGTATGTCCGACAAGGTTCAGTGCAGAATTAACAAAATGGAATTAAAAAAAAACCATTGAGTTAAAAATTAGTGTTAAAAAATAAATCAATGAAAACAAAGAATTTGCAAAACCTTTAGTTGATTTAAAAAAAAGAGAGCAAGTGAATTGGAAGTTTATAAAATATTGTTCGGTATAAATGTATTGGGAAATTGAAGAGCTAAATTGAAAGTGTCCCTTTCAAAAGTGGCAAGCTTTAACAATTTTTCAATACTAAATACTAATCAAAAATAAACTAATTTAATTAATAACAATAAGCGGTAGTTACTTGCAATCTTGAGTTGTTCATTGAATCATTGTCATTTCTTTGAAGTATATGAAATATTTTAGATACATGCGTATTGATATGTTTATTTGCTTTATAATTAACTGAAATCATGATTGGTACAGTAGTTATTGCCTTATCCCTACAAGCTTTCATTTTCACAATTCGTAAAGTTCATTGTTTCAAGAATTTCGAATTATTCATGCCAACTCATTCACACGGTTCAATGTAATACTGTGGAACTCAACTTTGAGACGCCGAAATGGCAAATAGACCATCTTATTAAAAATGTGTAAAAAATCTCAAATCCCATTCATTAACACATCGCTGATCTAAGAACCAGTGATGGAAAAGTAGGTACTAGGAATGTCAATCCCGGGGTCCCGGGATCCCGCGCTATTTTAAGGTCCCGAAAATTTTCCGGATTTGTAATTTTACTGATGAAAATAATAGAAACTCCTTTTCTTGACCAGTATTGGCTATATTAATTTTTTTTTTTGTATTCAATAATTAATATTTTTTTATAAATGTCTAGCTAATTATACATATAAAACCGTGCGATAGTAAATTGTAAATATAGTAAAATTGCGTTTTTAGTTTTTCACTCTGACGTCAGGAATTAAAAAATGGTTTA